ACGGCAGCAGTAGAGTGACTCTTGTTCCTAAATCAGTTCAAGGGAAACCCAAATGACAGCCACTCCCATGCCATTCTGGATGTGTTCAGACAGGGTGAAGATGGCTTTCCCGTGTAAACAAGAAATGTTTGCAGAAGGGGACGAAACAGAGCCCCGGGAGAGTGGGGGGTGGGGGGGAATGGGGAGGGACGCCCAGAGCAGAAGTCATCAGGAATCTTCTGGCCCCGCCTCGCCAGCCGCACTTGGACTGGCATGGTCACGCCCCCAAGGATGACCTCTCTCCTCCTGGACACTGCCATCCCTCACCCGGACACACCAGCACCGTATCCTGGGCCCTGAGGCCCCTCAGCCATGTTCCAGCCCCAACTGTGTGTCCACAGCAGCGCCCCACCCTTCCAGTCCCTCTCTCCCTGACTGACCAGTTGTCACCGTCTCCACGGCTGTCCCCAGGCTGAGCCACCATCTCTGAGCCGGACACCCCTGGCCTGGACGTCTGCACCAGCCTCCCGGGTGGCCTTCCTGTTTCCACACTACCTCAAGTCCAATCTCCACAACAGTGATCTTTTTAAATCTTCTACTCGTTTCGAGTCATCCTTTGTTCCCTAACAGGGCCACAAAACCCTCTGTGATCTGGCCACCATGCAGCTCGTGTTCCTCATGGGCAGGTGGCTCGGCTCTGCCTCCAGCAGGCAGGACCCCTGGGCTGCACCTGCCCCAGGCCCTCCCCTCACATTGCTCGTGCCCTCGCTTCCCTTAATACCAGCTAGGACACACCCTATATGCAACATCCTCTATCCCCTTAGCCCATTTTATTTTCTTCATGCCATTTACTACTATCAAAATTCTATTTATTTGTTCATCTCCCCTCCAAAATAAAAGTCCAGTTAGATCAGGGACTCTGTTTTGCTCACTGAGGTATCCTCAGAATCTGGAATCTAGAATAGGAGGTGCTCAATTATTATTTGCTGTATGAATTAAAATTATTTGCTAACCCCCCTTTAATTGGTGAGCTCAAATGCAGAAATAAACTTCTTTCCAAATTCCCCTTTGCATTTCAGCAGAAATGCATTTTTAAACATTTTCCAGCCTGCACTGCATTAATCTGAACCACTTCTAATTCAAGCTATTGTCTGCCAAATTATTTCTAAAGGCAGTGAGTGACTTCACAGTGAAGCTCACGGGCTGGAGACAAAGGAGGCACAGGGTCTGCAGCCAGGGACAGGCAGGTGCCCTCAGGTGGCCATCATCCAGCCCTCCTGAGGCCAGTGGCTCACCCTGGGCACCAGGGGAGCAGCCAGAGCCCCCGCCCAGCATGCGGGTGAATGACTTCAGCTCTGACGTCCGCACCTTGCGGATCCTGTCATCCAGCCCTCCTGAGGCCAGTGGCTCACCCTGGGCACCAGGGGAGCAGCCGGAGCCCCCGCCCAGCATGCGGGTGAATGACTTCAGCTCTGACGTCCGCACCTTGCGGATCCTGAACGGGGAGGTGGGAGCAGGTGCCTGGCACTGGAGGTCCGGGGGCAGATCTGAGCTGGGGGCTGCGTTTGCCTGGGCCAGGGGTCTTCCCAGCTGCCTGGGGACCAGGAGAGCTTCACCCCTGGGATGCTGGATGGGGGCCTCCAGCTGGGGGGCAGGCATGGGAGGCTGAGCAGCTGGCTCTGTGGGAACTGGTGGTGACAGGTGGCTGCTGGGACCCTGCAGCTGGGCACAGGAAGCCACAGGTGGAAACAGGGACTCAGCCTCCAGGGCAGCCTGGCAGAGGGGTGCAGGGGGTGAGCCAGGATTCTGGCTGCCAGCCGGGGCCATGGCATCCAGGCTGGGGACCAACGCATCAGACAGGGTCGCAGTGGAGACACTGTGGGAAAAGTACCCACTGGAGGCTTCACTCAGCGGGCTAGGGGGCCCGTCCTGCCCTTCCGAGGCTGGGGTGACAGCGACGATGGGCGGTGGGGAAGGCGCCTTGGCTGGGGGGTCGCAGATCTTGATGGTGGGGGCCATCGGGCGCACCAGCATAGCAGGGCCGGGGCCCACGCCCTCTCGCTGGGCCTGTGGAAAGGGAGGTACACGGCTTAGCAGCAGGGTCAGGGCCATGTGGGACACCTCAGCTCTGATGGGGAAAGGGCCTGCCTCTGCAGGCGGACAGATCAGCTCCAGCCACATGCCCCTGTTGTGTGCCACGGCCCTGCCCTGCCATCTCTCCATCTTCCTCATGAAACACCTGCCCCGCAGGGACTGCATGGCACGACATGGGACAGCAGCCAGTAGATGCACACGACAGCCTCACTGCCCCAGCACGGCCTCCCGGTGCTCAGGCTGACACCCTGCTTCCCTGGAAACAGATCCCCTGCCCACCCCCAACCTCACAAAGAGAAGGAGAGAATCACTAAAGAGGCCAGAAGAGCACTGTCTCCAGCAAAATCAAAATGATGACGTCATCAGAGCATCTGAAAGTGCCGCAGCAGCGTCACCAGCTCAGCACAGGAAGAGCAGCCACGGCCTGCCACCTGACCGGGGCTCCCTGCTAGCAGTCAAGGGGATATGGAGGGGGACAGAGGCTCCCCGCGGCTGGGGCCCTTTCTCTACAAGGCTGTTCTTCTGGCTGCTGTGGCAGGCCAGACCCATGTCAGAAAATGGGGGCCTCTGATCCTAGGGACCAGCTAGGAGGAGCTGCTGGGCTGGCCTCTCCCCCTTCTGTCACCTGGGCAGGGGACACACACACAAAGCCCATGCCTCATGGTGATGGCGACAGCCACTGCTTGTCCAAATCCTAGTGTTTCTGAGGTGCATGTACGATGTTCTCTGGTTCATAAGATGAGCCATGTGCAGAAGCCGGCAGGTGACCCTTCCCTGGTCACAGTGATGGGGAGGAGAAAGCAGGAACAGGGGGCGGGCAAGGTGGGTGGGGAAGAGAGGGGCGACGTTCAGAGAAAGAAATATGTTTTCCAATATTTACAGGAAAATTATTTATATTACAGGAATGGTCATTTTCCATTTGAAATACAGGATTTATTTGAACTGGGAAACAGCTGCAATCTATAAGTCTCTTACAGTTACTTGGCTTAACTCAACAGTTTGATAAATCACGCATTTTCCCGTGAACTGTCATTTATATTCCTGTTTCCAGAGGCCCTCTTTTCCCCACAAGGCGCACTTTCAGGGTATGAAATTAACGGCACCTCTTGAGATTAACAGCCCATTTTTGTGATGGACCCTCTAGGCTGCAAAATTTACTCAATCCAATAGATCAATAACTCCACCAGCATAAATACTCTAAAAGATTAGTCAATCCTTCAATCACTCTTCTTCTGCAACTGGTACATGTTTTGTTTATTCTCTTCTATTTTAGTACCAATATCTCTGGCCATGCAGGGAAGAATACGCAAACAAAACTACGAGTCGAGAATCTGGACAATATCCAAGGTCCTGAAACAGCTTCCGTTCCATACTCCCCACCAGGTGAGGCCCAGTCGCGACTGGTGCCATTCTTGCTGCCCAGGGCGGTGGGGCAGGTCCCAAGGTGGCACTCCAGCGACTCCGCCTTAGATGACAGGTATGACCCCGGAGGATTCCACAGGAATCACTGGCGAGGCTGGGCAGGAAGCATTAGCATGGCTCAGAGAGGTTAAAGGGCTTACCCAGGGCCCCAGTAAGTGAACAGGCAGGGATCGGGGGTCAGAGGTGCAGTGACACAGACCACAGATGGCAGATGCCACCTGACTGCAGCCTCCGAGCAATGCCATGCGACCGCAGTCCACATGCAAGTTGAAACCTAGCTGCCACCTTTGGATTATACCCTTACTGTGGAGCGAGACATTTCCAGAGACTTCTGTGAAAGCCCAGACTTGAGGAAGCCAGCACAAAGAGCACAAAGGCTGGCTGGGTGGCTGCCCTTGCTGGCAAGGCCCTGCTCCTCCTTTCCCCTGGCCTGGTATCAGCAGGAGAGGGGGCCCCACGAGACCATCTGCAGCCAAATGCGTGAACACCAAGCACACACCAGAGTAAAAGGGCCTTTTAGAAATGAGCGAATTCTTGGAGGTCTGACTTTTCTTTCAAATTACTGGGGCCTTTTTGCTGTTGTTTTAATAAATAAAATCTGCAAAGAGAGAGCATTTCCTAAGAGAACTGGAAGCACGGTGGGAGAAAAAAGATTGGCTACTCATGAGATCAGAAGTGCTGTTGAGCTGCAGGAGATCATAAGAGACTATTTTCTCCCCAGCTTAGCATTAGTCTTTTCACGCTGAGATCATGTATCAGGATGAAATGTAAAACTGAGAATTAAGCAGACACTTGGAAGAAGAAAATTGTTCTGTTTATAGAAATCTCCTTTGCCTAGCAGTGGGCTATTAAAGCCGCAGACTCTATTAGCAGGCAAGCACCGAAAAGTTTAGCAATCATATGATTAACAAGTTGAAAATAGAAAAGTGTATAACAAGGAGAATACAGAGGGAGAAGACAGTGACCTATATTACAGTTAATTATCAAAACAGGAACGCTAAGACAAAAACTGTGGTATGGACCAAACAATTTCAGACACGCTGTATGTGGGGCAGGCGCCAGCGGCTGATGGAGTCACCTCTTGCATCCTGGTCATCAAGGCATCCAGGAAGGCAGACTGCACTATGATCTTGGGCACGGGAGAGGGATCAGCTGGAGAAGCTTCTTATGGGACAGACTGGAGAGTGCCAGGAGGACTCCAAGGTGAACGTTTACAACTCTCTGCGACTCTGACACCACGTCACTGCCAATCAGGCACCCAAGCACCAGGGACTCCATGCCAGACAGGAAATGAGGACCCCACCAGGGGCTCATCCCTGACCAGGGAAGCAAGACTCATGCTGAACTGAACAGTACACGTGTGTGCTCAGCACTGGCCCGCACCTCTCTGCAATCATAGACACACACGTTGACCAGGGTGGTTCTGTACAGACAACATGACAAGACCCTAGGTGGAGAAGTGACTGGGACAGGAACAATCCGGAAAGACTTCAGGCAGTGGGTAGAAGCCACACCAAGCCTCGATGGCCAAGAGGACTCATGGCAACGTGGGGTCCCAGGAAGTGAGAAGGAAGGAAGCCAGCGGTTATGCAGAGACAGAGCAGGCAGGGATACATGGGAGGCTTTGGGTGCCTAACCAGGGGGTGAGCACCACCAAGTCCTGAGCAAGGAGGATGCGGCAGATTAGCAGGACTAACCTGGCAGAGGAACTCAGTTGATTGGAGAGAAGTCCAAGCAGGCAAACCAGTAAGGAGATTCCAGCAAGAGAGCACGTAAGAGGGACAGGAGCTCTCTAATAAACAGGACATAAGCAACATCACAAGAAAGGACTTCATGGCTTATGGACACATGGTTCAAAGGGCATTAAAAAAAAAAAAAATCCCCCAAATGAGAGCCTGGATAAGCAACAGAGAAGCAGAGGAGGAGAAGGAATCAGAAATTCATTTTGAAGATGCTGAGTGATATGGCAAATGTGACCATCTCTGGAAGGAAGCAGGAGTCATCCACCTCTGCCTCTGTCCCCTCTGCTCACCTCTGGCAGGACAGGCCCAGGATGAGCTGCTTTTTCTTGCTGGATCCTCAGGGAACAGCTGGTCCCTACTCTATTGTGTAATTTAAGTTGCCTACAGACGGAGCTGCCCCACCTGTAAGTTTCCCTCCCTCAGGCCCTAAGCAACCCAGCTGCTTCTGGTTCCGTGTGCACCTGGACACCTGAGGCTAGTATGCAGTGAAGGCCTTCCAGACAGTCCGTGGGCACAAGGCTGGACCAGCCGAGCCTCCCTTCCTGTCGGGGAGCCCACACCTTAACCAAAGGGAGAGGAGCCCAGGGGGAACCAGACGGCCCACTTAGTATGGTATTAACCTGAGGTCACAAGAACAAAATAAACTCATTTTGGCAATGGGTACCATTACAGCCACATGTGCCATGGGACTGCATTTGGAAGGAAAGTGCTAGAAGGTGAGGGAACAGTGGTAGGATTTGAGAAAAGGCACAGAGGAGAGGTGACTCAGTAGGAAACCACAAGATAAGGCTTAAAAAGATGTAAGGACCAAGGGCATGCACTGAAGGGTACACGCTTTACCCTGCAAACACAGGGGGGGTGGGGGGGGACGGTTCTGGCTGGAGACCAGGGAGATCCAGGATCAGAGGCGTGTTCCAGACAGACAAAATGTCGGCTGTCGCGGCAGAATGGAGAGGATGGCCTGGTGGCAGCAAGGCCACTGTGCATGACAAGGGCCTCCAGCCTCTACCTCGGCCCCGACACGCGGCTCTTCACCACTGGTACAGCTTGGCCGTCCACATCGGCCCCACTGTCAGCCCCTCAGGAAGTCATGCATGGCTTTAGGCATGTGTCCTCACTCCACCTCACATCCTGGAGTACAGGGGCGGCTGTCTGCATCTTTATTTTTCCCTACAGCATCTAAAGTCCCCCAAATGCGAAGGTGTTCAGAGTATGTAGGTATTTCTCAGTAAAGGCAGAAAAAAAGTTTCTCAAGCACAAACTCCAATACTTACATTCTTCGGTTAGATCTTAGTAAAAATAGACAAGAATGTGGAATAATTACTTCCATTAAGGTGAAACGTACCCCTTTAAAGCATAAAAATGTAAAAACTCCACCAATAATGGAACAGTAACCACCTAGGACAAAACCTTTTCTAAATGACAAAATTCTAGCCCTTCTAAGTAGAACATGGAAGCAATTCACATTTTCCTTTATGACTCTGTGATTAGAAAACTCCTGCAGATGCTTCGTAAATATTTGCTGAAATGCTTTTCAGGACCAGGTTGACCACAACACTGGTTCTGACTCTCCATGTATGAATTCAGTGCATCAAAGATTTCATCAGGTCTTACCACATACAGGGCCCTGCAGCCAGTGCCGTGGGCAGGAAGGGAGGGGCTGGGCTCTCAGTGACAATCTAGGGGTGAGGGACCCGTGAGCAGATGACTAACATGAAGGAAGGTGACGGATACTAGAAGGGGAGTTTCAAGAGCAGAGAGGCTTCAGAGGAGGAGGGGATCGCAAACAGAACGTCTAGAATACCAGATGAGGGTGGTTTTATTTTGCAGCCACCTCGAGTGGCATGACCGAGGCAGGATTGCAGTAGAGCCCCCTTCGTGCCCAAAGTGTTCCCTGCATTCGCTTGTCTACCCTGGGAAAGC